AAGCTATTCTCATTTAATTTACAACACTTTGCATTGAGCAGTTTACAATTTCTGAATGAATTTTTGGCAAGTTCCCCCCAAATTCGGAATCAAAGAGCAAACCACATCAATAGGAACTACACAAAAAGGACGACGTTTGTGCTACACAAATGAATTCTCGAACATTTACGAATACTGAGGGACAAGGAAAGTTCCAAAGGTTATCATTTGACGATTATTCATCACCTTTCTAGGTTCTCAGAGAAAAACAAAAACTGGCCCGTATTCAGATGATCGTATTCGATGGAAAAACACACACAACCAACTTTCTTTTCTTATATCCTCTTTAAACTTTCTTCATAAGCTCTAGCTTCACACTTCGGGTGTGATGCAGACTTCATTTGTTCATCTGAACAAAAATGATTAATTTTTTAAACAAAATTTTGTGTGTGGAAGAGACCAGTTTATCATTCAAGTCCCCTTCGTTAAGAGAAAAATAAATTTTAATCAAAATCAAAACATTCAAGGAAATAGAAACAGGATAATAACCCTGCATTATCCTGATGCGCTTTGGAAATGGAATGAAATTCATTTCAATGCTGGACACCGAGAACCTTTTCCATCACCTTCCCATGTGCTCAATCAACATTACCCAGTCTCTATACAATTTCAATACACATACACTTTTTTTTTATCAAAAGAGTCTATACAAATATACTTTGTATAACAAAGCTAGTGCAGCTTTCAAACTGCAAATAAAATCCCAAAAATTTATTCCTAATAAAGCAATAGGTTATGATTAAAACCTAAGGTTGACAGTTTCACAAGCACAAACAATGATCAGTTTTTTGAAAGGGAATCTTTATGAATGCCTTTACGTTCTGACAATAAATGCTTTTTCCTTCCGGTACTTGTTTAACCTTGAGTTGTTCATTTTCACACACTTCTTTTTTCAAGGCAGCGAGTAAAAATTCACAGAAGGTATTGTCTTGTTAATGGTTAAAAAAACTTCCTTCAATAAAGACCTTTTGTTTGCTTTTTGCGACAATAACTACGAAGCGACTTGCTAACACCTATTTAAATTAAAACTCAAATGGTTCATTAACATCTCAATGCTGGTTTGGGAGGCAAAAGATTTGAATCGTTTGATCGAGGATTACCTTGTAAAGAAAAAAAGCGAGATCACAAATGGATGGTAACTATTCTGTTATGTCTGACCGAGGTTGCAGCTACCATTTTACCACTGGAGTGTTTCTCACCATCGCCAACATAATCACCACCATACTCGGCACTTTTTTCAACGTTCTTATTCTCGTCTCTTCGTCGAGATTGCATTCAGTGTCAAATCTTTTCATCATAAACCTCACTATCGCAGATCTATTGGTTTGCGCTGCTGCTCTGCCGCTTAACTCTGTGTGGACAGTCCAAAAGACACACGGAATTTGCGTATCTCAGGGGGTTCTGTATTCTCGCAGGGTCATTCTTACTTTATCCTCAAGCGCCTCTCTGCTCATCTTAAGCTGGGTGAGTATTGAGCGTTTTGTTGTGATTTCTAGGCCTTTGAGGCACAAATTTTACATCACAACACGGCGCATTAGAATCGTTCTTGCCATTACCTGGATGTGTTCGTTGATGTATGGCGCCGTTGCTGCATTCGACGACAATGCTTTCATTACGATTTTTTCAACAACGGCAACTGTGACTTGTTCTGTTGTCGTTACAGCATGTTACTTACACATCTTTGTCGTTGTTTGGAGGCAAAGAAGAAGTCAAACCGAACTTCAAAGAAGTCAGTACCAGAGCCAAGCATTGGAGAAACAAGTGGCTAAGACTATGGCTCTGGTAATCAGTGTTTTTGTTCTCTGCTTCGCTCCCCTGACCATCGCTAGACAGACTGTAACCACGACATCTCACGGAGCCTTACATGACGGATTGTTGTTGCTAGCGCTGTCGCATTCTGCAGTGAATCCTGTGATATATTTTCTCCGCTTCAGAGATTATCGAGCCGCTCTTAAAAGAATTTTGTACTGCAAGAGCATTCAGGTAGAATACTCAAGGAACTCTGATAAAACTTGTCTGGATAACAATCAAACCGAATTATGCCAGATAGTGTCTTAGACTGCACTATTTATTAAATGACTCGCACGTTTCTAACTCTGCGCAATAAAGAACAACTACTCTGTTTACCTGCAAATTAAACAACAAAAAAGAGTCGAGTTTCTTTTTCTCGATTAACCAAAATGAAGTAAATTTAGCTTTCTACGGAAAACACAACAACTAGCAGAGTATTGAGTTAGAGGAAAGTTTCAAGAACGGAGAACTATACAGTGGCGCAGCCTGATGCCAAAGATACCGAAAATAAAGCGTGCACAGTGAAGTGGAGTGTACAACCCCCTTAAGCTGAGTTAGGTCACTAAGCTTGCTAGGTTTACCGAACAGCTCATGTTCTCCGTTCACTGATGAGACCTTGAAGGCCGGCTAGCGAGCTGAGAGTTCAGCCCTCATTGTACTGTTCATATGGGCCGGTGTTGTTAGTTCGTCTAATGACAACAAAGTCTCATGATTGAACATTCATCTTGGTTATGTGTTCGGTTACCAATATCTCAGTAGCCACGATGCTTCATCTTGAGAGTACATCCTAATTTTTAATAAAGGGAAGAGTGGTGCAGGGCGAGGCTCGGAGACCATACCAGCCTCGTTGAACAGCTGGGCTCATAAGAAGAGTAAACTTGTGAGCAAAGGAACAATAAAGAAAAAGGAAAAAACCTAAGAAAATTACCTAAAGACAATGTAAAAACTAAGGAAATCTTCAAGAAATACTTCTTAAAATACCGAAAGCTTCGTAAGTGTAAACAAAGAGATAGCAAATTTTTAGTTCAGTCGTCGAATGAAGCGGATGTTCTTAATTTGCGAAACGAATGGGGCAGAGAATAAAGTCTGAGTTCCATAAGAGAGTTGGATTTTTGCCACAAATTGGAAACACCAAGGTGGATGAGGAAAACCTTTGTCGCGAGAGTGAAGCGAAGAAAAAAAAAAAAGGAGACCACCCCTAGTGGTTGAGAACGTCAGAGCTTCCAATTTTGCTGTCGCACTCTCTATTAACTAAACAACAGAGACCTCGTTCGGTAGAGAGAGAGTGTCTCATATCTGGTAGCTGTGAGACAAAAGTAGTTGACACGGCTACGATCAGCAATGACGAAGGCGTCGCGGTGAAGATAGTTAATTTTGAACCGAAGGAAGGACGCGAAACATTTGCCGCAAGCAGGAAGGATCTTTGATATAATTACTTTAAGTAAACATGTTATCATTTTTCTTTAAATCATAAGGTATTCTTTCGTTGTAAAGGCTCCTCACTCACTCGCGTTGACCATATACATCCCAAAGAACCGATAAAAAATTTCAGAATTACTAAAAATTATATTGGTAGAATGTCTATACTCCAAACAAAGAATAGCTAAAGAAGCCTTTTAGTCCATGAACATAAAACATTATTAACCATTCGTTCGTTTTTGCAATAATTGCATTTCCAGTTGTACCAGCTGTATAAAGTCACATAAACAAAGTTATTAATTCTACGATTGAAAACCTTACATATACCTTAATATGTTAAAACAAACGCACTCGCTAATTACCCCAATTTTGCGCTTCTTATATTAAAGTTAAAACGACCATTGGCGGACATCCCCGAAATGCTGAAAAAAGTACTGAAGTTTTAAATGTAGCTGTTCCAGATGTTGGGTTCGTAAAACAAAGCGCGATGAACAGCGCCATGATAGCGGAGGAGGATCGGGTTGCGTAATAAACGAGATTAGTAAACAAATTCAGAGTCTGTAAGGGAGTTGAAAGAAAACCGATTTTGCCAAAGTGGCTCTAAGCGTGACTGATCTCTTACAAGAAATAGTCTGTTCAAATTTGAGTAGAATCAGTTACAATAGACGAACTCTAGGCTGCATGAAATTGTTTGCATGTTCAACGCATATTCGAATAAACAGAAAGATAGCTTCCTGTCTATCGCTTCTATTCAGTATCCTTCAAATTCGTGGAGACCTTTTCTCTTAAAGCCATAATCGAATAAAACTTCTCTTGATTTACGGAACCAAGTAGCTGGACACGTTCCCTTTCAGAGATGTTTTAGAGAAAAGATAAACTTGAAAAATATTGATACCTCAGTTGTTTCCGTTTTCATGATAAACAGTTCATTCCTTCCTTTTAGCAACTTATGAATGATAAAAAAAGCTTTTCGTTAGCACTACATCACACGAACAAACTTTCCATTAACGTTTCAACTTTAAAACCTTTTTTAAAAACCTAGATTGGTGTTACTAATAGATAACTGTCTTCAATGTGTTTGCATATTTCCTTTAGCCGTCATTTCATGGTCGAACGTGAACAATGTTTATTACTTACCAAAACTATAAAAATCTCGTAATTTTAGGAATGTTACCCCTATCTTTAAATTTAGGAAAACTGTCGCCAAGCGATCGCATTTTTTCCTCGCTACTTCCAAAGCCGTTCCAGAATCCGTAAATTTACGCTTCCAGACTTATCATAACATAACCAAGAGAACATCAACTAATAGAACTTATCCCCCATACATACCCCTCTTCCAATGATATTTTTTAAAATCTAATTTTAGTGTACGTTCCTGCGGCGCGACTAATTTGAAAACTTCAGCCGATTGGTTAGTGTTTCTGTGGTGAAATTTGATGTATGATGTTTGGCGGCCTGTGGTTTGTGGTGTTCAATATGATGACGTCATGACATCTTTCATCAAGACGATAAAAACACAAGCTGAAAAAGTGTAACCTCTGAGCGCTACTCTTGAAGCCTGAGTTTTTCTTCCCCTGTACTCTTTAAGTTAGGGTGCGTAGAAGATATTTCCTGAAAGAATTCGACTGGACGAACGATATGTCTTGCAATGGCTGATTCAGGTAAATTACCTCCAAGGTTATGCGCAATGGCGCAGAAAGCAAACCGGCTCGATCTTGATGATTCCTTAATTTTAAAAATAATGTCGTTCATTTCTGACATCTATGCCTGAGTAGCTAAGTGACTCTTTACCTCCACCCTTGATCTAGAGACAGACTAATTATTTGTAGAGAATTAAACATTGATACAAACTAATTGACGAGGAGCAATAGTTAGGGGCGATTTCTTATCGATTCACGCAACTGTGCCCGACAAATTTATAAAGCTAAGACAGTCAATAGAAAGTAAGTGATCAGTCTTGTAAGTGGCTGGTTTTTTAGTACGCGATTCGATATTGAATGCGACAGCTCCTTAGGCAAGTTCTTACACTAGACGGTTAAAACTCAGTTAAATAGCATCTGCTCCTTGAAATATCAGCCAATGCAAATGTTTTTTAATGAGTAGTACCTTGAACAGCCTGTAGTGACAAGGAAGGAAGAACTCCTTCGGTCGACAGCAACATATTTATAGCTTGCTGAACATCACCAAGACAACGCATTAGGGCTTCCTTACTAGACTCGACTGGGAAACCCATGGACAAGACCTAGAAAACGAGAAAAAATATCAGAGATTTGAATGATTTAATCAGATTGGAAGGTCGTTGTACAAGGGCGCAAAGGTTTCATTATGGCCTTTAAGATCGCTACGTTATTATTTTCACATTTTGAAAAATTCGGGCTTAAATGTTCGAGTTCGTCATTTTCAACCCTCGTTAACTCTGTACACCCTAATATTAGTATGCATATTCTCCATGCTGTTCTCTATACATTTCCTTCGGTGTTGACAAGGAGAATTCGTTTAACAATGAAGAACTTTTCAAGTTAGTGATCACTACCTTCATTCTCGGCGTGACCTTAATGCGATTTAGGGCTGATAACGTAGGGAGAAATTAGATGCTAATCATTCTTAGGGGTTAAAGGTTTCATCTTTTCCATCCTTAGTCATTTTCGTTGCTATTCGGTTTATGTTCTGGTGTTCATCTACTCTGGCAAATAATCATTGCGAGGTTTCTTCTATTCAAGGCAGTCTAAGAGTTCAGGAATGACGTCTACGGCAACTGGTAGCAAACGGCGAAAATGAACGCTGATTTTACTTTCTATTTCTAGACAATTCTTAAAAGAGCCCTGTAGAAAAATTGCCCCTGTAGAAAACTCTCTTGCTTACAGTTAGCGCCGATATCCCGATGTAGGTGTCAAACGGCTTTAAGTAGACAGTGTGAAGTTAATCATTGCCGCTCATTGTAAAGGCAATATTTGATTCAATCATTTTTTTTTTTATCGATAAACAATGATTGAATTATAATCCACTCACCTGAGCAACTTGTTCATCAGAGAGATCAGATTCACTGAAGGATGATCTGGACCTGACGAACAGTTAGTAAGTTAGTGAAGTACCTTGTGCTGTTTCATAACATTATAGCGGCAGCGCACACGGTTCGCTCGCAATGAAAGTTTGGCTACACCACGAAAGCGGCTATTTATCTCTTAACACTTTCCAACTTAACATCATTATGCACATTCTCCGTACTGTTCTCTATACATTTCCTCGGGTGATGATTGGGAGAATTCGTTTAACAATCATGAGAATGAGTGAGTAACTCACTAACGCAATGGGTAGACCAGAATCCGAATCAATAAGGTCAATTGGCATCGACGTGTTTTGTATGCTTTGGAAATTAAAAGCATTGTTATATCCTTACCTTTTGCCAGGAATATCAAGTAAATCTGGATTATCTTGAAGAGCCTGTAAATATTCATTCAGATCAGAAATAACCGTTAGTCAACATCAAATTAATACGGAACTAAATGCGTCGATCAATTTGAAGCTTCAACATCCCCCTTGACATTTGAACTTTTGCAGGTTGGTTCGTTCAAATCCCGTCCCGGGGACCAAAATTGTGTTCGAAATCCCTACCCGAGTGCCGGATTTGATTGTTTCTTTTTTTGCGTAAAAGGCGAGACAGGGACCGTGGCTTTCTTGTTGACCTATTCTTCAGAGTCAACTGCTCGCGAAAGTGAACTGTTTGCTTTAGATATCCCCATATTAAAAGATAAAACGTGTATTCCGCCAGGCAGACGTAACAGCTGCGATTCAAATTTCCCACCCCAACCAGGCAAGGTTCAAATTCCCTCCCAGTGAGATACGAAACACGGTCAAATGCCTGTGGGTTTCCCGGTTTGGGGGAGGAAGGGGGGTGTTGAAGCTTCGAATCGATCGACGCATATTGTTCTCAAACCCTAATTTAAGAGACAACTTAGCCTCTAATCTTTCCTTGTCGTGCCAAAACTCTCTACTACTGAAAAGGACATGGGTTGCCTTACCTGCAGCGCATTATTGATATCATTGTTCGCCTGTTTCAAGGCCTGCGTGGCCATGCAGCTGGAAAAACCCATCTCCACAAGGAATTTATAAGAATCTACATTGACCCTGTACAAACAGAAAAAATATTAAAAGATGTTACTTAGTGAATGACACAGGATTTCCGCAGAAAAAAGATCCGAGTGCTCCCAACAGGAGTCGAACCTATGACCTTCTGATTAGTTCTGCGCATGCTCTGCCACTGTGCTATCGGAGACTCGTGACAGGCTTGGCTGTTTAACTGGGTCTATGGTGACAAGCTTCTTGCATACTGCTGGACAGGAATGTCGAATGTGATGCTTTTATGAAATGAAGATGTAAATGGTGATGTGAATGAAGATGGTAAAGTTGAGGCCTGGTTATGTAAGTGAAAGATGATGTTATTCAGTGAACAAAACAGGCAAACTCGGAAAAAAGAACTCAGAGTTCACCCTATTCGAACCTACGACCTTCCGATTAGTACTTCGTATGCTCTACCACTGAGCTTTGAGAGATTCATCGCAGGCTTGGCTGCAAACTATCGTTGAATGTTGTTCGAAATTTCAAATTCTGATCTCCTCAGGAGTAAACTGTTACTTTGAAACACCTTTTTCAAAGATTATCCATGATTTTATGTCTAAGTGACGCGAAAAATCATTTTTAACGAGAAAACTTTTTAGTTCGGTAAGGCAGAAACCACCTTGGATAAAGCACGAAGAAAAAAAAGGATACAAAAAAAGGATATCTATAGGCATAAATGATTCAAACAAATTGCAAAGGAAAAACTTGAAGATCTCAGTTAGATTTTCTCGACGCAAAACCCGCAGCGTCTACCCACCCCCCCACTCCCCACTTAGAAGGCTCGTAGTTCGCACCCGTAATTTGCTCAAATTGTAACTCACCCAGTCACAAGATCATTATTCACATCCTCCCATCCTACCCCACCCCCTCAAGCTTACGTTGACAGTTCCCGCGGTGTTGTGTCTCTTACCATTCTCCTGTTCCAGTCTTCCCTAATTTTCTTTCCAGTCGTTTTTTCTTTCTCTCTTCGACCTCTTTCTTCCTTCTTTCTTTTTTCTCCTGTTAAAAGGTCCCAGGCAAAAAAGCGTTATATTCTTACTCAACAGAAAGGTGAGATAATTTTGGGTCTTTCAAAAGATTCTTTATCAGCTGACGCGCAGTGGCCTAGAAACTATCTAGCTGGTTTTCGTATCCAAAAGATACGGGCTCAGGCCTTGACCGTGTCATTGAGCGATGTTTTTGGGCAAGAGACACAAAAATCTCACAGCGCCTCTCTCCACCCAGCTGCATCGATAAGTGCTAGTAAGCTGTCTGGCACCATTGAAAGAATTCTCGGGGGTTATGCGTCAAACGATTCGAAGCTTTAACATTCCCACCAGCAACATCCCCGGGAATTTTAACTTTTGGGGATTGTTTCGTTCAAATTCCTGCCCCCGCCCAGAAGCCAAAATTGTGTTAGAATACCCTACCTAAGAGCAAGGTTTGGCGTTCAATTTTTTTGGTAAAAGGCAAAATCAGTGACCTTGACTTACTACTCTTTGACAAAGCTTTAAACTTAGACCTGGTAGACCTTTCCTTCTAAGCATGACAACCTTTCTCGGAACAACTGTGCAATGAGCTTAACTCGAATTTCCCATCAACTCAAAGTTGGGTCCTGTTCCCGTCACTGTAACTTACCCCGCGGGATATCTCTAAATACCAAATACCTTGTACCGTTTTAGTGGGTTTAATGGGGTTCAAGTCAAGTCATACTCTTCTGTACGGAAAGAGAACTTACCTGTCTCTTCGTTGTGATATAATCAATAGCCAGGGTGGTGTCCCCTTGGCAAGCTCTTAAACCGAGACGAGCTTCAGATTCTGTAAAACCCATCATCAACACTGCAGACAGAAAAAAGGCTTTCATAA